AAGTATTACCAGTCCATTTTCTGAAGTGAAAGGTACGGGAGGAATGAAAGAAAGCAATCAGCAGAGATCCTAATAGGCTAAGTGTGTATGTGGTGGGAAGCAGGGATGGGCAGAGGAGGCCAGGTGAAAGTGTCCTTTGTTAAGGATGGGGAAGAAAAATTAATCTGCTTTTGGTGTATGATTATTACAGCCAAGAGCACAAAGGGTCTGATCCTGCATCGGGCCGTGACATATCCCAGCTCACCTGCCTACAGTCCCTCTGGAGCAGCACAGTGTGGGGAGCAGAACCTGGCCCCACATCCATTCCCATGTCAGTGGCTGGGTATGTGCTTAAAAGCTGGGAGCAGTTTGCAATGATCCCTGGCATTAGTCGATCCCCAGTGCCTCTCTGGAGCACTGACACCTTGGCAGGGCAGCAGTGAACGTGTCCAGACCTGATGGCTACAAAGGTATTCTCCTGTTAAACCTGTAGAAAACAGAATTCTCCTGTCAAGCCTGTAGAAAACCTGTAGAAAACGTAAAGATTCATGGTTATAACTTATGCCACTGGAAGAGAGGCAGATAAAGGGATTGAAGAAACAACAGTGGTTTGGTTTTAAGTGAGATTCAACAGAGATTTGAGCATCACAGGTAGGGTGGCTACGGGACATCCCTTCCCAGCACTGGGAGACCAGCAGGGAGAGGAAAGGCAGGCAGAAAGCAGAGCCAAGGAGAAAAGAATGGGGACTGAGAAGGGGCTGTCCTGGAGACTGGCTCTTGTTTCTGAGCAGTGCTGGAGCAGTTGCTGGGCTGTTCAGTGTGAAGTCACGAGGTGCCACGAGGACCTTTGATGTGCAGTGGTTTCACAGCACTCACTTGTGTGTCTCCCTGCTGTACTGGGAGTGGGACTGGTATCCTTTCCCCTGCAAGGAAACACCACAAGGGAGAGCGTTCCTGAAGCCTTGCTTAAACCACACTGAGGGCAAGAGAAGTTGGGTTTAAATTTCCCAAGCAACCCGAGCTTAACCACATCTTCTCTCTTTTAACTGGAGCTGCTCATTTCAGTTACAAACCCAAGATGGAAGATGTCCTCTGTCCTCCTGTGGGTCACATCTGCCTGGCCTTGCTGTTGGGTTGGTGCCAGGCATCCCCTCCTGTCCCAAGCCACCTCTCTCGGCCATGGCCTCACCCCAGTTTCTCTCGCTGGACAGAAGAAGCTGGGAATTGAACTGATGAAGCTTTGGGGAAGCCTGGCTGCTCCAGGCAGCATGTCCAGGCTGCTCTGGGCTCCCTGAAGCACCCATCACCCGTGGCACCCTGCCTGCGCTGCCGTGGGACCTCCGTGTGCACATGAAGGCAGCGGGCAGCAATCATTCTCTGGCATTCCAAATGCCAAGCAGGGCTGAAGCTCAGCTGTACAGAGGTGGCTCCATGCCACTAAGCTGTGCCACAGAGCTGCTGCGAGCTGCCAGTAATCTAATTTATTAAGGGCTTTGAATCCTGACAAAGATTATGCCGGATACATGCAAAGCATCTGCATTATCACTGTGATTAGGGCAGCAGAGGTGGAGGAAAGGGGAAGGAGGGAAAATACAATTTCTCCACTTTCAGCAGAAAATAAATCAACTTTTGCAGAGAGTTCTGGCACAGCCAAAGGCTGCGCTATCATTAAAAATGATTTCTTATTAAGCTGAACTCTCTCCTCTCTCATATTGTGTGATATGACAGCTCTCTTTTGATGGGAAAGCTTTCATTTGCCCAGAGAAAGGGATAATTTGCTTCTTTTAAGGAGTTAATCCTCTGGTCCATTTCTGGGCTGGGAACAGCAATCCTCCCCCTTCCTTGGGTCGGAGGCTGCAGCACAATGGAGATCATAACCACCTCAAATCTACACCCGAGATGGAGAAATCAGATTTCCTTTTCCAGTCATTTTTGTGGGATTAGCTAAATCTTAGATCCACACTAACCCTTCACAAAGCTGCCAAGATTAGTTAGAATTTATTTTATTCACAGGGGGGTTTATGGTTTGCTTTCCAAAGGGATTATATCTCTCTATATATATAAATTTAGGGTGGCTTCAGTCATAAAGCAGCTGGGATAGAAGGAGAAAAAGTGTGTGTCTGTATAACATAAAACCTCAGCTGTGAGAGTGACAGACACTTGAAATGCCACGACATAGCAGCAATTCCTGATGTCCTTGCCAGTCCATTTCAAAAGCTATGTAAGCTGTGTTTTGGCTTGTGAGACCCCACTGTGGAGTCAGAGCACAGAGGGCAAATCCCTTCAGCCTTAGCTCTCCATGCCTGTGGCCACTGCTGCTGGCAGAAGATGTCTTCAGAGCCAGGGTCAGACGCCAGCACCGACAAGAGAGGCGTAAAGAAGCCGTGTTCATTCAGCATCGAGGACATCCTCTCCAGCCCGGCAGAGAAGAGGCCCCAGGTCCTGGTCCCACTGTGCCTCTTGGACTGCACACCCAGGGGGCTGTGTGAGCTGGAGACCATCCCAGCCAGCTCCCTGCAGGAGGAGGAGGAGGAAGAAGAAGAGGAAGAGCTGGAAGGAGCAGGCTGCAACTGCTGCTGCTGTTCTCACACGAGCACCCGTTCCCTGCAGGACTCCCCAAGCTGGCTGGGTGAGTGTTTGGGTTCTATTCATAGCATTGTGCTTGTGGAGGGACTGGTGCCAGACCCATGTGCAGGGGAAAACCTGGGCATTGAGTCACAATACAGCATCTGACCTGCCACCACAGTGGTCCCAGGAGCTGAGCTCCAAAGAGCAGGCACTTTTACCTGCAATGCTAGCAAGGTTTGAAAGGCAGCAGGTGCTATTGCTTGGTATTACTGCTTTAGTGTAAAACATTTGAGACATGATGCTTCTAGGGGTGGAAGTACTCTGTGAAGTGCGGGGCTCCATGGTTGTGCTGCCTAAAAGTGATGCCTTAAGCCCTTCTCTCGCTTGCATGGTGATCACACAGCTTGTCACCCATGCTGGCTGCCTCCTTCCAAACAAGATGTGTGGAGGAACTCCTGCCTGAACTGCCTTGAGGAAGATGTGTTTCAGCCCCCCACACCTAACACCGCTGCGGTACCTCTCCCCTTGCAGACACCCGGTTCCCCTGGCCCATGCAGCTCTTCCACTCAGCAGCCAGGGTCTGTAAGGGTCCCCAGGGGAACCCAGCCGAGCTTCAGAGTTGCCACCAGATCCAGCGCCGGACGCGCCGGCACCGCACCATATTCACCGAGGAGCAGCTGCAGGCTCTGGAGACGCTGTTCCATCAGAACCAGTACCCGGACGTCATCACCCGCGAGCACCTCGCAAACCGCATTCACCTGAAGGAGGAGAGGGTAGAGGTGAGGTCCTGCCTCCCGGTTGGATGCTATTTGCCCCCGAGGACACAGACCAGGGCATTGCACTGTCTGTTGCAGGAGATGCAGACCCAGGGCCTCAGTTTAAAAACCATTGTTGGGTGTTTGACAGAACACTGGTTAGGTCTGGCAAACAATAGAGCAATACGAAACAGATCTGCTGGGCTGGTTTGTTCCGGTATCTGGCCCCACAAACACACACTGTCTCCTAGAATCACCTGTATTGAATCACAATACACACAATACACATCACATCACTGTGTATGAATCACAAACACACACAGGCCCAGTTCAGCTCATCCCCTCACTGCAGTGTTTATTCCTTGTTTATGTGATCTGTGTGACCTCTGAATTTGCCGGGGGGGGGGGGGCGGGGGGCAGCTCTCTTGTCCCCATTACACATCCTGAGCAAGATCGCAGGGGAGAGGCTCATTACATTCTGTACCAAACCCTTACACTGGGAGGTGTATTACAGTAGCTAAAGCTTATACTGTACAGTCCAAGGGTGTAAGCTGCTGTCTCTCTCCCAAGCAACACACGGGATGTGAAAGTTCTTTTCTTGCTTTGTGCTTTACAGGTGTGGTTTAAAAACCGTCGGGCCAAGTGGCGGCATCAGAAGAGGGCGTCCGCCTCGGCACTGATCCTTCAAGGCACCAGGAAGTCCCCCGAGGAGAGCTGTTAGCGGTCACCGGCTGCATCTCAGCAGCTGAACGCCCAGAGCACCTATTTCCCATAGCTGACAGGTTCTGTAGGGTGTGACCCGAGGGGGACGAATGAGGCAAAAGGGAATCTGTGATTCCCAGAGGATGAGGACAAGTGAAAGCAGACACGGCACATTCCCATCCCAGTTTCTCTCCCAAACCTAGCTCACTTGGCACATAACTCGCCAGGCATCACCCTCAGATGCTCAAGCAGAATCCACTGCCAAAGCCCGTGCAGGGGACAGAGCGATGCCAGTGTTCAGTGTGTGTGCTTCAAGGGGAGGGGAGACTCCTCTCCCCGTCTTGCTCCGCGCAGGCGGTATTTGTGCTTGTTTCACTGCTGTACACGTGCAACACATCAATGAATGTTTCCTGCTTCCAGCACCTCGATGGCACCTTTTGGGGCTGAGCTCACAGCACGGGCAGTCTGATCCTTAACAACGACACCGGGCTCTCCCCATGCTGGAGGGGACCCCGCGCTGCGGTGCGAGGGGCTGGCACAGCGAGCGCCCTGCTCTCCCCGCACCGCTCCCTGTGCGCGGCAGCGGGACCAGTGAACGCCCCCCTCCCGCCACCGCCGGGCGTGCTGGGCCGTGCCTCGCTCACCCCCGCGGGCCGGCCTCCCGCAGCCCCAACCTCCCACGCGGCGGTGCGCACTCCCGGTGTCTTGAGGAGGTCCGTGGGGGGGGGCTGTGGGCAGAGGGCTCCGCAGCCCGGCACAGCCCAACCGTGGGGCAGCCGCCAGCTCCGTTATCACGGAGCGAGACCGGGCGAGTCCTCCCTGCCGACAGGGGGCGCGCTGGCCGCCGCGAGCACGGAACCGTGCGCCTCTTCCTTGGGCGGGCCGGAGGGGCAGGATGTTCCGGGTTCCCTTGGCGCGGCCCTGTGACGTCACGGTGTGTCGCGTTTGCGACGGCGGCTGAGGAAGGTGTGGGGCTGCCTTGGTGGGCCCGGCCCGGCGCTATGGAGCAAGCGGTGGTTCCGGCCGCCTCCGCCCGTGCCGTGGTGCCGGCCGCGGGCAGGGGCGACGGCGCCGGCGTAACCCCGCCGGCCTCCAGGCCCCCGAAGACGATCCTGGATGAGGAGACCTACATCGAGGTAAGCCGGCGGGCCTGGGGCTGGGCCGGGCCCAGCTCTCCCGGCGCTTGGGCCGAGCGCGGCGGGTCCCGCTGTAACCCGGGCTGCGGTTGGGCCTGGGGGCGAGGCAGCCCTGCGGCCGTCTGACGGGATCCGGTACGTCCGGTGCGCTGCCCGGCGGCCGCCGCGGAGCTCCGAGGTGTCCCAGCGCGGCCCCGCAGCTGTGTCTGTGCTTGCAGCGTCTGGAGAAGATCATTCAGCGAGACTTCTTCCCTGATGTGGCGATGTTGCGAGCACAGAAGGAGTATCTGGAGGCGGAAGAAAACGGCGACTTGGAGAAAATGAGGCAAATCGCGATCAAATTTGGCTCCTCCTTGAGCAAATCATCGGGGGACACACCTGTACCCTGTAAGAACTGCATCACTGGGGTGTGAGGGTTGATATCTGATGTTACTGCTCTGATTTATCTAACCGTGTGAAGGCGGCGCTTATCTTAACGATTCACATTGTCATTGCATGGGAATTAGCCTGACAGATTGGGCAGTAGCCACTGTCAGATGAGTGGTGCTGAATTTCTGTTTGATGGTGTTTATATTTCCTTCTTGAGGGAATGGTTTTGGAAAAAAACCCAGCTACTGAATAACCATTCCTCACAGGCATCTTTTGCCAAGCTCCTGCTCCCTAGGACATGTTACATGCTTGAATGTGCAATATTATTGTTATCAGAAACTCTAAGCTATGCTTTGAGTCCTTATTACAGTTTTAAGAGTTTTTGCTGCCTCTGCAGATGTGTAATGAGTTTGTTTATGGGGGACAGAAGATGTTGGAAGCTTGTGATTATCAGAGGTTCACGTAGCAGACATCCAGTGTCCTGTTGTGTGTCTGCTTTCACTTCAGGTTCAGGTGTCTATTACATTAAAGCCCACTCTCTGGCTAAGCTCTTGCAGTGTGGTTTAGGCTTTCTTGTGGCAAAGGGCATGTGTCAGCCAGTGGTTTCCCTTTCTCCCCTCCTGCAAGGGCTGGCCCTGGCCTAGGTCAAGATTGTTGTGCTGCTGCTTGCTTCTGCGGGCAAAAGCTGTGCATAAGGTGGCAAATATACTGGGCTGTGGCTCTCCTGTGAATTTTCCCCAACAGGAGAAAAATGATGTCTTAGATGAGAGCAAAATCTTGTTCAGTGTTTGGGACAAAATTGAATATTTGGCATTTTTTCACAAATTTTAATTAAACTGTGGTTCTCTTGCTATGTGTTCTGTGACTTGTTTGGAATGTGACCCTTTCTGGTGGCAGATGGCACAGCAAGTGTCCTGTTCTGTGCTCTGCTAACCATTTTTTTCTGTCACAGATGTTACTCCAGCCACATTTGAAACCCCAGAAGTGCATCCAGGTGGCCTTCCACTGGAGGATAAATCCAAAGCTGGTGTCAAAGCTGCAGAGGAAGGTAGGAGAATGATGTTTGTTTAGCTGAATTCTTCAGCAGCAGGAAAGTACTTTTGTGAGCTCTGCCTCCTGTATGGACTGTGGGTATTTAGCAGGTGTTGAAGCAGTTTCCTTTGACTTTCTAATGGGTGAAAATGATCACTCTGAAGTTGAACTTGATGTAAAGTTTTGTCATGTGTGTGAGTTCTCAATTATGGGTCTCTTTAGGGCTGTGTAAATTCTGAGCTCAGTTGAACTCTTTGAAGGCAGAAGGGTTTTGTTCTACATCAGCTAAAATTAATTCTGTAAGTAAGCAAAGATTGTAGGGGCAGAGCTACTCATATACAATATTAAAAATGTCTACAAGCAGCTGTCCATGTGTGCAATTTCCTTTAACACAAATAGTTATAAATGCCATAAAAAGTTTTATGGGAAGGTTGGTTGTATGTCTTGCAAAAAAGAACGTTTTATTGTACCTCTCTGCATGTGTGTATTTGTTTTTTCCACTGAGCTTCATGCTAATTATTAGTGGGTCTGTAGAAGGTTTGCTGTCAGAATGATTAAGAATTATGTATAGTGCTGTTGTAGAAAAGGAGGTATTAGCCTTTTTCAGGCTTCTTCCCTCTTTTTGTTAGGAGAAGCAGAGAAAGATGATAAAGAGGCGCTTCCCAATCTGGACAGCTTCCTAGCAAAACACACAAGTGAAGATAATGCTTCGTTTGAGCAGATCATGGAAGTGGCCAAAGAGAAGGAGAAAGTCAAGCATGCTTGGCTGTACAGTGCAGAAGAGGAGTATGCCCAGGTAGGGAAATGGCTCAGCTGTATCTCTGCTCCTGAAGTGACACAACAGGGAAATACTGTTTTACTGTATGTCTTTCTTGTTTGATTAAAGAAAATATTATCTTTTTGCTTTTGAATCCTACTATAAAAACAGATGGGAGTTCATGGGCTCTGAGTGTGAGGCTATTGCATTAGACCATGGATTTACTCATATTGCAGAATAAGAATAGAAAGGTCTTGATTTTAAGTAGTAGGTGCTTGGCGTGATCACATTAAATCTGAGCTAAGCCTGAGTTTCCTGGGTCCTGTGAGAGCTTGTTACTTCCTTTGCAGTCCTGCTTTTTCCCCATCTGTAACTCAAGAGCAGTGTTGACATAGTTGCTGAGGATCTATCTCTTCCTAAAGTTGTGAGACTGGAGCATTGCACTGAGTGCAGGTATTGCTGTTCTTGGCAGTCTCTTCCATAAGTGGCAATACCAAGGAGAGCAGCTGAGAAAAGTTCCTGTTGTTTGTCCATGAGCCCTTTATTATTTGCTGTTAGATTGTACTATTTCTGTTTCTGTTGCCAATAATGATCTATTCAGCTGCTGAAGTAAATTCCTGTACACAGTACGGCTGGCTGTGCTGTTTGCCTCAGACAGGCAGGGGCATTCAGGGCCTGTTCTGGAGCTGCCATGTCAATCTTTCTCCGTCAGCAGTGAGCAGCCAGCATTGATGCCAGATGCATCAGTGATGGATGTAAGTTGCAGTGCCTTTTATTGAAGTTTGGCACTGACACCTGAGTGTTTCCTGCTGTGTTACTGTGAGTGAGTGTTATGGTTTTATCCCAGCTAATGTAAACCCTTGGAGTCCGTTACAATAAAAATGCTCTCTGTGGCTCATTAAGCATCCTCTTTGCCTGAATGCTTTCATCCAGAATTAAAAGGCAGGCAGCAGGAGACCGTTCACAAAGCACAGGGGTTGTTTCAGATCAGGGTGAAGTTTCCAGAGCTGGTCTGTGCTGATGTTGTGTGTCTTCTTGTCAGCCAGCACTGTTCAGACCTTGCATTTCCTCGCACTCAGTGCCTATTTGTGTAGCAGACAATTTTGCTATGCCTTATTTAACATACTTGGTGACAATACTGCTATTTAAATGTATATGGACAACATCAGTTGATGTCTTTAATATAGAGCTTCTGGCAGTAATTTTCTAGTTTAGTTGGTGTGAGAGTTTTTAAATGGAGTAACTTGTTGGTGGGTGACTGCATTCTGTTAGGGGTTTTTTTGGTATCAGTGATACTAGTATGCTGGTAACAGCACACAACTAACTGTGTAAGTGTACACACAAGTAAGTGTAAGTATGTCAAATGCTTCTATACCTGTGTTGCCTGTGGAAATGTTTGGAAACTCTCTTAAGTGTTGAAGAAGTGCCCTTTCTGGGTTTTAATGCTTGCCTCAGCTAATGCAGTTTGCATGATATTAGGATGGTACAGATACTTTCCCAAGGTTACATGCCAAAGCCTTGTAGACTGCCTTTATGTTAGATGTAGTGCCTGATGTTGCTCTTCCCTCTTTTGGCAATGAATGCTTCGTTTGAATTTTTATTAGTAGATAGAGGAAAACCAGAAAAAGCTTGAACCAAAACAAGTGCTGTCACAAGATGTAATAAACAAAGTCGTAATCTTTATGAGAATTTACTTCTCTGGTTCTCACCTCGTTTTATACCAGAACTTCATATGGAATCATTTACAAGCTCAGGCAGGAACAGGATGGTTTCTCAAATGACACTTGCTAGAGAGTGCTTATGCCATGCCAGGAGCAAAGTGTTCTGTGGCAGGGAGCTGAGCTTGTGGTTGAGCTCTGCATGGTGTAGATGCCTGGTTGAAATGTTGCAGGAGTCTGTCAGAACTGATGCTTCCCCCACCACCACCCTTTTCTAATCTTTTTTTCTATAACGCTCTTTCAGCGGCGCAATGAGAACCTGGCCCTTCCTTCAGCAGAGCAGCAAGCTCTGGAGAGTGTGAAAGCCGGACTGGAGACCTGGGAATACACAGCTCGAAACACCCTCATGTATTATCCAACAGGTGAGGTTGCAGGTTTCTTATGACGGGCACTGATTCTGAGTGGATTGACTCTGAACAGTGCTAACAGCATAACAGCGTTTCTGTAGATGACTGAGCACCTCTTACTGGCAATGCTGCACTTTTTCCTCTGTGAAACTCAGATACATAAAGTTGCTTTAAAATGTCTGGTGTTTTCTCTCTCTTTTTGTATTTTTTTTTTCTCTTTTTCTTTATTTGAATTTTGCTCCTTTGCCTTTGATTGCAAAAGGCAATCGAAGTGTGATCATATTCTGTTTGTCATTGAGAAATTCATTATCTGTATTACAGAAGCACTTGGTTTCAGGAGCCAAAGCTCTTTCCAGTTTGGTCTTTCTTCTTTATCAGCACTTTCTTGTCATCTTTATTCAATCTTAGCTTCTGCTCAGAGAGTGCTTCTTGAACTTTTTGGGCTTTTGGTTGCTATAGAAAACTATGTAATTTGTAAATGCCCTTTTCTTTGGTTATAAATGTACAATTGGTAACTTCTGCAAACCAGTGAAGTACAGAAAAGAAAGTCTTGTTAACTTAAAAAGAAATTAAAAATCTGATCTTAATTTATAGATTTCAGGTGTTACAAAGCTTCTTTCTGGTACAAATTCTGTTTTAAATTGCTAGTGGTATACACAGCAATTGCTGATGGATTCTGTTGTGTAGGAATGTGTGGCAAGTGTTGTGTTGGTCAGGAGCTTTAGAGCACACTGCCTAGTGTTATCTGAGCCCTTTCTTAAAAGGCATTTTGCTTTTCAAGGTGTACCTGATGGGGATGAAGTATTTAAGAAGCCCAGGGAAGTTGTCCATCAAAACACCCGTTTTGTGAAGGACCCTTTTAGCCAAGCCGTGAGCAAATCACAGCTCCAACAAGCTGCAGCCCTCAACGCTCAGGTTGGATAATTACACTTCTAATACTTTGTTACACTCTTCCCTCTAATGTGGATCAACCAGGAAAACTGTGTGTGCTAGATAATGCTGATTCACGCCTTTCTCCACATGAATGGCATTGTCTTTTTTTTGTTTCAGTACAAACAGGGCAAAGTGGGACCAGATGGGAAAGAACTGATACCCCAAGAGTCTCCAAAAGTGAATGGATATGGATTTGTGGCTACCCCCTCTCCTGCCCCTGGTAAGAGGGATTTCTTATGTTTTCTGATGTAAAATGCTCTGTTCAACTCTGAGGTATCACTGTTGATTTAGAGAAGGAGATGAGCTTTCTATCTATGTAAGTGTCATGAGCTGGTGACTTTCTTGTGTACTGTGTATGCCCACTCAGCCCAGTGCTTAAATGCTAGTCCTGTATGCTGGCTAGAGGAGTCATGCTGTACCCAGGAGGCTCTGAGCAAGCTGCCATACTATCACTTAGGAATCATGTGGAGGGAGTTGAGCCCTTCTAGCCAACTGGGGTGCTGTGGCTGCTTGTTTTATCCCTGGGTCATACTTGGGAGCTTAAAGAATTCAGATACTTCACAGCCATTAACCTTCCAGTGAATTGTCCTGTAGGTTTTTGAGTGATATTCAGCCTGACTCATAACAATGTGACATATCACTTCCTTCACAGTCTAACCTCCTGTTTCTCTCCACGTCTGCTGCTTTCTTGGTTCCTCCTTTGTCTGAATACACTTGTGTATTATATACTGCTTTTGTTAACGTGGATTAGCTGTAGAATACTTTTGGTTAGAACAGACGTGATTTTTCTTCCAGTTGAAACGTCATATCTAAGTTTTCACTCACTCCTCGCTACCATTGTGTTTCCCCTGTCTTTTGTTATGATGCTAAAAGCTGAATGTACTGAGGCTTTTCCTCCGGAAAGCCTGTAGGTGGCATTTGGAGCGCACCTCCTTTCTCTATTGAAGTGCCTGTGCCATACCAGTCACTAGCCAGTGGCTTAATCGGGCTTTTAGCTGCAATTCATCTTGAGGCTAGCCTGTACCAAGCAGTGACTGCACTTTGTCTAACAGCTACCACCGCAGAATGGATTCTAAGTTAGGCTATTACATGTATTCTAAGTCCTCTGCCTATTTCTCTGCTTTTAAATAGTTCCTTACGTTAAAGGAGTTTTCATGAAGTAACAAGGGGAAGACTAGTACCACAGGGGAAAAAATGAAAGTGGCACTAAGCAAAAGCTCACCAAATGGAAAAATAAACACATGGAAAGGACAGTGCTTGGGTGTTGTCACCTAGAGGGTGACACAGCCACTGGCAACGCTGTTAGTTTAAGGTCATGCTCTTTCAATGGGAACCACATGTTGCTAATGGATATTGGATATGGATATGTGATTTCCTCTGCAGTGGAGGGGCTCCTTTGTGTGTTGATGAATTTGCATTTCATTATTTGCCTCTCTGGATTTTTTTGCTGTGAATGAATAGTCAAATGTCTTTCATAAGCATGACTCTTAAAATTTGGTTTTAGGTGTGAATGAGTCTCCTTTTATGACATGGGGTGAAATTGAAAGCACCCCTTTGCGCTTAGAAGGGTCGGAAACGCCGTATGTGGACAGAACGCCTGGACCAGCCTTCAAGGTATTCCATGTCAGCAGTCAGCATGTCATTCTCTTTGGGGGGGAAAGACTAAGAAGGGAAAGGCAAGTGAGTAACTAATAGGCTAACATTGTTGTAGGAGTGTGACACGTCTCTGGGCTGTGTTCCCAGTCCCTGGTTCCAATAATCTAGGTTCTGCTTGGAGGGTGGAGGTGGACATGAGCGCTGCTTGGTGGAGGTACCTGAGGTGGAACACGCGCTGTTGTCAGGAGAGCGAGGCTTCATATTTGATGATACAAAGCCCAGACATAGGGGTTTTCAGAGGAAGCTGAAGAGATACCCAGTTTTTCCAATTTCAGTGTATAAATGGGTAGAAACTGTAGGATTTCCCTCTGTCTTGATCTTTCAGCTGTCACAGTCTGAGGCAGGTGTATCACTTGAGAATATAAAAGCTGCTCTGGTTTTGCTAATGGTACAGGTCCCTGCATGCCAACTGTCTCCTGCTGCTGTCATTGTGTATGAGCTGAGACTCTTGCTTCAAGAAAGGTGTAATTTGCTGTATGTGCCTATGTTTTGCCAGACTCAGAAGCCCTTGACTGGTTCTCCTGCTGTGTAGCAATGTCTGTTTGCCTGAGAGCTGGCTGGCCACAGGCCAGGCCATGAAAGACACAGGTGACATTGTTTGTCTAGGAGGGACAGCAGGAGGAAATGCCAGAGGTAATGGCTGCTTCCTTGACTGAACTGGTTCTACCATTTTTGTTACTTGCTTAGGCAGGTTGAAGGTCCCTCTGTGTCCTCTCTGGCTTTTATATAGCAGCAGAGGGCTGTGGGCTGACCCCACTTCTCCCCACTTTAGATCCCTGTAATCTGGAATCCAACTGTGAAGGTGCTTTGACTCATTTTTGCAGCATTCATAAGAGTCTCTTGGCAACTGAACTGTGTGATGCATTTGTAGATCCTGGAGCCTGGGCGCCGTGAGAGGCTGGGGCTCAAGATGGCCAATGAAGTGGCAGCTAAAAAACGAGCAAAGAAGCTGGAGGCACTTCGAAAAGCGACAGAAAACTTGGCCAGGTGAGATTTGTTCTGACAGCAGAACCGTGGAGGGGTATCTGCTGATGAGATTTAAATCAACATATGTAGAAAGGGAGGAGTGATCACAGTACTGGGAGCAGCAGTAGGTACAGTCAGACTGCAAGGCTTTAGAAATCAGAAAACTTTGATTCTGAGGGAAGGTGGCTGGTGGCTGTCCTTGATACTCCCTCTTGTCAGTGTTACTGTTCTGCCTTACAGCCACCCAGCAATGCATCTGGATCAGTGTCTTGCCTCATTGCAAAGAGGAGATGTGATAAGCCTTGCTTGGCTGGGTCACAGGAAGGATAGAACAGGCTCAAAGGAAAAGGCAGGTGGTACCACTCAGGTTTGGAGGGATGTAGGAGGTTTCTTTGTCATTTGTCTCTAGAGAGACAGGCTGCATTTACCTGCAGGCAGAATGACTTCTGCAGCCAGTGGGTCTGGTCTGTTGCGAGTGGATATCAAGCTCATCTGTGGAAGCATTGATGCTCTTCCACATAAGTGGCAGATTTTTACTGTAAAATCTTTTAAACCTGTTTATTCTGTTCCAGCTTCACTCCAAAAGGACTAAGCCCAGCAATGTCACCAGCTTTGCAGAGACTAGTAAACAGGACTGCAAGTAAATATACTGACAAAGCACTGCGAGCCAGCTATACTCCTTCTCCAGCCCACACTGGAACGCCTGGTTACAAGACCCCAGCAAGTGGGCCTCATACACCCACAAGTACCCCACAGTCTAGGACAGTATCTCAGACGCCAGTATCTCAGGATACTACATCAATCACAGACAATTTACTGCAGCTTCCTAAAAGAAGGAAGGCATCTGATTTCATCTGAATATTCCAGTCACCAGCAAGGCAACAGTGAACTGGCCTCACTCAGCTGTCTGCAAATGGGATGTTGTGAGCCATCGGTGTAAGGGGCGTCTAGATACAGCTGCCAGAATGGAAGCCAGTGGTTAGAAGATCTGGGACCAGCGCTACTCTAGACTATATAGATAAAATAGCCTGCAATGTGCTTTTAGGAAGCAGGGTATCTCTTGCTGTTGTATAAATTCCCTTTGTACTGCATGGGTGGGATGCACAGGGCTGTGGTAGAAAAAGAATGCTTCCTGCAATGGCAGAGAAGATTCTGGACTCTTGGAAAAGAGTGATAATTGTTTAAAGATATGTTTCTTTTTTTAAGATGGCCATGCATTTAAGTACATTTCTGTACAGATATGTCTATTTATAAAATGTGGTAAGCCTTCCTAAAAGGTTGAACTGGACTTCCTTTGAGCTTGCCAGACATCTTTGGTTTTGTGTTTTGCAGAGGAGCGGATATAATCATGTATATATTAAGAGATGACCCAGAGTATTTAGAGGGCTTCTCTTTAATTTGAGTTGCTCTTGAATGTGGCTTGGACCTGCGGAGAGAGGTGGTATGTTAGGAAGACGGTATGCATACAGATTCAGCTCTCAGTTCACAATGCCCAATAACCTACCTGAATACACGGTGTGATTGATGCACATGTGAATTCTGCAGCCTGTGCAGTCAGGAGCTTGCGAAAGGTGAGTGTAAGAGCTGTTAAATGCCAGCAGCACTGAAAGAAACTGTCCAGTGTGTTTTGACAGTAACTTCCCTGCAAACCATATCAGAGACAGGTCTTGAGAACAAAAGCGTTAAGCTGTTTATTCACCTCAGCAGATGTACAGTGTCTTCTATTACTATTTGTAAAGTAAGAGGTGAGGACTGTTGCTGAAGCAGAAGCTAAAGTGGAGAATCAGCAGTTCACAAGTTAGGTCGACTTCGTGATACTGTTAAAACCAGCCATCCTTAGGAGGATCCTATTTACTTCTCTCTTTTCCCTTTTGCTTAATGGCATTTGGCTTGATGCTTTGGCTTTCCTTCATGTGGGTTGTGGGAACACTCACCCTTTCTGGAGCTGACAGAGGGGACTCGACAGTGGCATTTGGAGTCTGCAACCATGAGTGTTTCAAAACGTCGTCTATGCACAATCTCTGAGACACATTGGGCTGGAGCAAGCGGTTAATGAGATCCTTGCACTCTGCAGTCAGGTGTTTTGTGCTGGGGAAGGAAATCCTGTGTTGTTTCTGAAAAAAAATCATTTTCTTGATGTTGGAATCATCAAATGGCATTAAAGCGTAGACCATTATATACAGGATGACGCCCAGACTCCACATGTCAGAAATCCTGGGATCACAGGGAATGCCCTGTAGCACTTCAGGGGCTGCATATGCAGCAGACCCACAAAAGGTATTGCTGAGAATCATTTTCCCGTTTTTATCCCAAGACAAGAGTTTGGAAAAGCCAAAGTCTGTCAGCTTGACATTGAGGCCATCATCAAGAAGGATGTTCTCACATTTCAGGTCCCTGTGAGCAAAGTTTGAGTCGTGGCAATGCTTGATGGCAGAAGCCAACTGCTGAAACTTCCTGCGAGCAAAGTCCTCTCTCATAGCTCCTGTGCTCTTGATGTAGTCCAGGAGGTCTCCCTTTTCCCCCAGCTCCATTACGATGTACACTTTCCCAGCTGATGTCTCAAAAATCTCGTAGGTTTTGATGATTGATGGATGTTGCAAACATCTCAAAGCCTCTATTTCCCTGGGGAGAAACCTTTCCCAAAAGTCCCCAGGAGTTTTCATCTTGTCGATGATCTTGACAGCCACTTTGCACTTCAGCCTCTCGCAGTAGGCACATTTCACTTTGCTGTACGAGCCTTGTCCTAGTGTGTCGCTGAGGCTATACCCTTTCTTTTCAAGCACTGCAGCGTCATCCATGCTGGAAGAGCTGGGGGGAGCTGCTTGAGGAGGTGCTGGTGTGCATCATGGGTGGTGGCAGATGGTGTGAGCACCCACCATGGTAACTGCTTGGGCTGCTGCTGCCGTGGTCAAGTGGCACCGGAGCACTGGTCCCTGTGTGATGTCACAGGCGCTCGAAGGACCTTGCAGCCCTTCCCTGAAGCTTCAGGATGATGTCATCCAGGACAGAACTTGGCATCAAGTCACTTGGAAACATCACCCATACCCTGCCTTCATCATAAACTGATCTTTAGTTTTGCTAACAGGATGGCAGTACCTCAAATGTTTTTCTTTCCTAAAATATACCTAAATCTGTTTATTCACGTTAAGTAAATTTTGTCATCTTTTTGTATGTCTTGGATGATCTTTCAAGCCCCATGTGGGCGTGCTTCTGGTGTACAGTGGCCTTGCTTCTCACCAGCCAGTTTTCCTCAGAAATGGGCTTGTCATGTCTTCACTGAGGCTGCATTCAAGAACTGGGTTTGAGTTTGGCTTGTGTTTTTTTTCCTGCATGGGCTTGCTAGGGGAAGGACATTGCTTCTCTCAAGTTCATTTCCTTGTTGGTCATCCAGCCCTTCCATTTCATAGCTCTGATGACTGGCTGCTTTTGTGGGCTTTGCTTTTGCTGTGTGAGGGGGTTGTTTTGACTTCTAGCTTCTGGTGTTCTTGAGAAAGGCTCACAGGACACCTTCCTCAGAAGGATTACTGTTCTGCATGTTGACAGCTTCACTGTAACCAGCCTCGGGGGCTTTTTGCTTTCTGTTGATTTCAGCTTTTTCAGGTCTGTTGTTACTGCTGCTTTGAGTGTGACTCCAAAGACTTGATGGTGTTGATGATCAAAACATGGGGGCCGGGACAACCTTGCTTTGTCCATCAGCGTGGGTGACAATGTCATTCTGAAGAACAGAAGTGGCACTCCTGGCAGCCGCACTGGGGCTTTTGGGGGGTTTCTTTTCCCATTCTTTGAAACTTCGGGGTAATTATTCTGATCAGCCAGAAGAACAAGAAAGGAGAGCAGTTTTCCCCATGCACAGCTTGCTCTCAGAGCTGAGTGGCTGAGCACTGGCACGGTGTGATCCACCCTGGAGCAGCACAGAGCACCTTTCAGCAGGAAGCAGGCATAGCCAGATGTGTACGCTTCCTGTAGCACGCCTGAGCACAGGGCAGCCTGTGTGACACTTGGAAGTCTTGGACACTTGCTATAATCAGGTGATGTTTTACCGAGGAAACTTCCATGGCAAATCCTCTGCAGCTCTTTGAGCAGTGCCTGCAGCCTTCTGTAAGGTCTGGAGTGTTTGATGCCGTGTTTTCTTGGTGGAGAGATTCTTACTGTGAAAAATCCTAAAGGACCTGATTTTTGTAGTGCATCATGTAAAAATCAATTGCTCACCATGCCATTGCAAGGAATTAGCAATTTTTGCCTTTCAGTCAGAAATAACTGAATGCTAAATTTTGTCTTTAAGCAAAGAAATTGCTCTCACGTATTCGTGAATGTAAAGAGCCCATTTACTAGCGTTTCCATGCTTTCAGAGATGTTCTTGAAGGACTGAATTGGGTAAATAACAATGAATTTCTTAGGTAATTTAAACAACTAATTATTTATTTCATAATGACCACACGTTCTGCGCATCTCCAGTAAATGTAGGACCTCCCTGTTAGGGCACACAGGCAGATGGTCAGGCCCTGGCCTGCAGTTTGAGTCACCCAACAGAGCGGGAGAATGGAGCAGATGTGACATGAGAGATGGTTGGATGTCGCAGGCACTGCTACAGCGAGCACCCAGGGGAATGTCTGAGCTTCACGGATGACTAAGGAGCAGCACAGGGACTACCGGGATGTGGAGGTGACCCAGTGAGAGGTATCAGAAACACCAAATTCGGCTGTAGATGTGACAAGGCTGGGCCCAAGGGGAAACAGTAATTAAAGGAGGATATTTTGGGAAGAGATGAGGGTTAGAGAAAAGGAGGGATTAGAGAAGAACAAGCATGGGAACACAGAGAAAAATGATGTGCGGAAGCAGGCTGTGACTGGTGTGTGTGTGTCAAGCCCAGTGCCTGATTTCCACCATCTTGTTCACCGATTCCTATCCCTGCTCTGGTTGTGGGAGCTCTCTCTTCTGAACATGGGATGCACGTAAAGGCTGGGTAGTGTTTGAGGACTGTGGATGGGGCATACATATGGGTCAGGAGTGGGGCACACATCTTCCACAGCATTTGAACCTGGTCATGCTCATGCCAAGACATAGCTGGAATGACAGAGAAGGGAATGTGGTATCTGTGAATGATGAGTTCCATGTTGTGCAATCAATGCTCTGAGCAGATTGCCTTAAATATCCTGCGGGCTGGTGTTGGTTTTGTGTTCACCCTCAAGTGAATGAACCCAGACAGCCTTACTAAAATCTCAGTCTCGGTTCTGCCAGACTGAAAGGCCTTCACGTGTTTGCTGGGAGTGTAATTTATTGCTATAAAGCTGGATCTCTTGAAGGGGATGTAGTGCTCTTCAGATAGGCTATTCCTGTAACGCCTGCTGTAGTGTCTGGTCTCCGCTTCCTGCTGCAGTTCAGCTCCTGCTATCTGTAATTAGGAAATCAGTAATAAACTCTTTGTTGCCTGATATTTTTGCTGCTCTAGCACTAGCAGATGATGTGCCTTTACAAGGCCAAATCCCATGTGAAAAACCATCTTGGTTCTTCATGACTTGTGATTTTTCCTTTTTCCTCTCTTTTTTGAGAGGGTTATTTTCCTTTTGCTCTTCCTGCATACCTGCATTGTCCAAGGCCCAAGCATGCTTCCTCCCTCAGCCAGAATAGCGCCTGGAGCTTACCTCAATGAAGCAAACCGCTGATTACACCAGGCACAACTGCTGCTCTTTGATTTGTGGCACACTGGTAAGAACATGATGAGCAGAAGACAAGCAGCAACCCAGGGTTTGGTGAGGCAAGTAGCTGAGAGCTCCTATCACCATCACCCCACACCATGCTGTGAGTGAAGACCCAGGATGGAGGTGGCCAGGGGAGTGGTGGGGCACTGCCCTGGGGCAGGAGGCTGCTCTCCAGCTCATGTTCCTCATCCCCTGTGGGCTATGTGAGCCCTGTCTTGCGGCAGGGATTTGGCTCTGCAACAGGATGTCCCAAGGCACCAACCCCCAACCTGCTTCTCTGAGCACTTCAAGAGTGTTTCCCCGGGGCAGATGCAGCCACCTCTTCTGTGGTGCAAGGGGCTGTACAGGGCCTGCAGTTTTCCACCACCCAAAACCGGGTTCCAGCAAGGAGTGGGGCTCTGAGCTGCTCTCTACTTAAGAGTCGTAGAATGGTTAGGGCTGGAAAGAACCCTATTTAGCTGGGAAGGGAAGCTGTGGTTGGAGTTACTTTGTTGTTTTGGGGGACTGGGCTACTTCTCTGAAGAAGAAAAAAAAGGAAATGGATGCCCTCACTCAGGAAAGTGGGAGATGGAGCAATTCCTACTTCCTCATGTTTGCCTTTGTTGCCTCAATCCCAGCTTGCTGCTGCTGGTTGCAAACCCCAGCTCAGAGTTGGGCCAGGGCAAGAGCGGGTTTGGCCACCCTGCCCGTGAGCCCTTTCCCTCTGCTTCTTCTGGACACGGAGAGCTTTTCTCCACTGCTTTATGGGCACAGGGGATCTGCACTCGCTGGTTAGAGAAATGCTCACTCCCAGTATGAAACGGGGAGTGCCTGGGATGTGCCAGCTCCTGCACGTCCTCGACAGAGGCTCCGTGTGTTCTACTGGCATGCTCCTTGTCCCTGCAGCATCTGCCTGCCCCTTTGTCCTGCCTGGGGCCTTGGGGCTGTGACCGCACAGGGCAGCTCCACCTCACACCTGCCCACAGCCTGGCCAGGGCATTGGTAGATCCCCAGTGATGGTGTCCACCAGCACTGCAGCTCTCAGCACGGCACAGCCTGGGGAAACAGGTGCTCTTAATCTTTACCTTTGTGCTGTGTGGCCGGGCTGGTTACTGCCTGCTTGCTCGAGGGTGCTGTGTGGGTTGTGGTGCTTACCTGGCACATGTGCGCTCCAGAGCCACCTCTGTTCAGAGCTGGTGAGGTTGCGGTGTGGGGAAATGAGGTCTGCCTTTCCTGGGGCAAAAGCCAGGGACAGGCAGCCTATGCCCTGTTCTGATGCATTGTAGGGCATTTATTTACACATTGTGTGATGTAATTCACAGGCCTCGGTTGCCATGGGCTTGGGGTGGGTAAGGAGTTGTCTTGGATCAGTCTGGGGCTGGCATGTGTGGCTGAGCTGCCAGAAGGCAGGGTGAAAACAGCCTTCCTGCACTGTATCCCCTGGGAGGCACAGAGCTGGGGAGCTGGATGGATGTGCTTCCTGCTGGGGGGTGCTGCCATGCTTCAGCTCCCTGCAGACACCCACATCACAACAGTGTCTGGCAGCACACGAGAGCTGGCAAAATGTGTTCTGGCTGGAATCTTCAGGCAGCCCCCAGCATGTGCAGGTCCCCAAGCACACGGCCCCAGCCATGCAGCCCTCCTGGGGCCCAGCACAGCCCCAGGGAAAGGAGCCATTGCACACACTTGCTGCTGCCCCAGCAACCTCCCAGCAGGCACCAGCTTCCACTGCCACGTTAAACTTCACATCTGGGTATGGAAGAAGAATCTCCCTGATGCTGCTGAGCTGGGCTTGGCCGCAACTCCTGTGGCAGGGAGTGCACAGGAGACCCCACTGCAGATTAGCATCTGGTGCCTGATCAGGAGGGGAAGCAGAAGCAATGTGAGAGCAGATGTATCTGTTACCTGTACATCCATTTGTAATACCCTTGGGGGAGGTTTGCCACTGGGTACAGTAACTGATATTAACAGAGAAACAGGGAGTGTTGGATCTTGGGTCCAAACATTGAAGCATGAAAGTGGAAAACAGTTGTTGTAGACTTAAAAAATATATAAACTTCCCAGCAGCTTCCCAGGCTTTGGAATGGGGTTTTACTGGAAAGCTGGAATACCCTGCAGTGGAAAGTGCTGACCCTGCAGCCACTGTGGGTCAGCTGCCCTGGGCAGGACCATGCCTGGTGCTACCCGAACACCGCTGCTTCATTTCCAGTTGCCAGAGGAAAATCCGGCTCGGTCTGGGGAGTGGGTTCTGGAGGTAAAACTGCTTCTGACCCCAGACACGGCCTGTGCAGAGCCCCAGCACCGGGAGAGCTGTGGCACCGGGGCCAGTGCCTCCTCCCCAGGCTGGGTCCCCACAGGGACAGCCACCACCCATCGCGCAGCAACACCCAGGGTCAGATTCCTGAAGGCGCCTGTCATTTGCAGGGCCATTGACGATGATCTGGGCGGCACAACTGGTGCTCTTCACGTGTTTCCTCTCCGGCTCCTGAACCTGGAACACAGCGCTCCCAGGAGCATGGAAACACCATCCTGCTCCAGCCCTGGGGTGGGGATGTCCGGGTGCTCGTTGGGGTCACCCCTACAGGACTGGAACTAGATAACCTCAGTGATGTGGTTCAGTGCTGGTCTTGGCAGTCCTGAGGTAACGCCTGGACTTGATCATCTTAAAGCTGTTTTCAAGCCCGGTTGATTCTGTGATCTTGAGGTCCTTTCCAAGCCAGTCTATGATCTATGGCATGAGCAGGGAAGGCCAACCCGGCTGCGGCAGAGAAAGGCTGCGGCCGCCCCGCGGGGTGGCGGTGGCTGGCAATGGCCACGCCGGCGACAGAGCGGACCGGCGGAGGCCCCCCGGGGGCCTGATGATCGCGGGGAGCTGCCCGCCCCGGCCGCGCTCGGCCCCGTAGGTGGGCGGGGCTTGTGCCTATCCGGGATTTCGGCCCCGCCCCCTCGCCGCCGATTGGCCGAGCTGCGTGCCGTGGGGAGGGGTCGTGGCGGCGCGGGGGGCAGGCGGCGGGGAGGTGCGGCCGCCATCTTGTGCGTCGCCGGAGCCAGGCGAGGGGCCCGCAGCGTGGCGCCGCCCGACCCCGCGCTGCTCCCGCCGCAGCCGCCGCCGCAGCCAGGGCCGCTGGCTCCCGCCCGGGGGCGGTGGCGGACGGCGGAGGGGAAGAGCTCGGTGCGGACGGGGGCACTCCCCCCCGCGGGTCCGGTGGCGGCTGCAGCCCCTCCTCCCGCCGCTCCTCGCGTGCCTCCCCGCGGGTTTGTGGCGCTGCGCCGGGGGAGGATGAACGGAGGATAAATGGTGCCCAAGGCAGACAGCGGCACCTTCCTCCTCCTTTTCCTCCTGGTGCTGAGCATCACCGAGCCGCTGCGGCCAGGTAGGGGCGGCGGGGGGGGGCGCGGAACGCCGGTCCTCCGTCCTCAGCCCACGGGCGGGTCCCGGGCCCGGAGCTGGAGCCGGGCGGGGGGCAGCGGGGCTCCCCGGGGGGGCGGGCGAGGGAGGCGGCGGGTCAGTGTCCGAGAAGCGGTGCCCCCGGGAGGACAGCGCTGGTGCCGTCCCCTTCTCGCAGGGCTCAGGGCGCCGGGAGGAGCCTAGCGCTGGGGTCGCCGTGGCCCAGAGCCGGCCCCGGCTCCAGGGGTCGGTGTCTGCTGCTTCGTTATGCTCTAAAACGAGATGGGACCTGGCTGAGTCATGGGGAAGCGTCGGTCCCTGTGCTGGCGGGGACTTGGAGGAATGGGAGTTAGGGTCAAAAACCTCATTTTAAAGTTTGAAAGCTTGGGTAAAAGCTCTGTAACACTACAGGTAATGAGCAGTGGAAGTGTGGTGGCATGGTCAAGTTTTCAGCTGCTTTTTACTTATGTTGTGGGCCTTGGGTGCCAACAAAACCTTGCTTTCAAAGTGCCGTTTGATCATGCCAGAAAGAGAAGACAACCCTACTGCATCTCAGCTGTATGTCGTCTTCCTAGTTGTGTTTTTGCTTCTTTTAGGGCAATAATTCAGCAGTGAAGTTGGTGTGGTAGTTGCTAGGCACAGTGCTTTAAAATGTTCAGACTAGTAACTGGAGAAATGGTTGCTGTTTGCTGATTGAAAACTACAGCCTTTCTAGGTGCATTGCTCAGTTGAGGTTTCTTCTTGGGTGTTGAACTCACTTGGAGCTTGGCAGAGCCCTTGCCAAAGAGCATCAATTGCTGAAGCGTGAGGCTGCCTGGAGTGGCTTTGCAGGTTTGGAAACCATCCTCCCGTCACACCATGCGACTGCTGCTGGGTGATACTCACTCCTTTATAAACAGGAGAGAAAGAACGATGGTGTGCTTCGAAATCCCCTTGTTCTTTCTATTCAAAATAGCCGGTATGACCCAGACTAATAAAACGTAACAGCATTAGTGAGCTGTGTTTAAGCAAGTTCCCAGTACAGCTGAAACACAATTGGGTCAGTGTAGGCAGTCTTATTGAAATAACCAACTTAGGTGTTGAAACTGCTCTGTGTGTTCCTTGTTTTGTTTTAGCTTGTTTTTTTGGCAGTGCAGTGTATATACAGGGCCTATGATATGCTCTGAAGTAGCCAAAAAAAAAAAAAGCAGAGTTGCTAACCTAGCATTATTACAGCTAGAGGCTTTACGTGGGAGAAGATGCTATGTAAAACTGATTTCAAGCAACTTCCTTTATAGCTGGCACCAAGTGCTACAGACAGCTGAATTACTGGTTGAAAAGGCTCAGCAGAGGTTCATAGCTGTCGGTGTACTTTAACAAGAGGGCAGGTTTGATCCTGAACTCTGTTGGTGTTGAGCATTGTAGCCTCCTAGAAATTAGAAAACGGCTTTTTCCTTTTGTGTCGGAAGATGTGTCGCTCCAGTTTGATAGCACATCTCTGCCTGATGCGTCATGGATGAAGACAAGTTTCTCACTGAGGTTTGCTTCTTTAGGGCAAATGGATGTTTTCAGTGGTGCTGTGTTGTACCTACTTTGGAGATTTGTGGTGCTGTAGCCACGCTGGCAGAAGCATTTTCCATGTGAACAAACCTGAACTCTTTATCTGCTCAGGTTATGTGCCACTGGCTTTGAAACCCATAGCATTAGGATTTCTCTGTGGGAAGTCTGTATGTGTTCCTTGAGCTTTGCTCAAACCACGTGTATTCTTGAACCTAATGTGAAGTAATCCAACTGGATGTAGTATTGCAGCTGGAATTCCTTGCTGTATGAGGGATTTCTGAATTCCATTTGGAATAGTCTCACCCATCCTTCTTACTTGGAGGCTCTGGATGATTCTGGTATTTGAGCTGTCCATGGTGATGCTTCTCATTCTTCCTCAGGAGAGATCCCATTCCTTCAGGGTGGCCTCATCTCTTTTTGCCAATGTCCTTTGCTTTTTAGCTTGCTTCTTTTAATATCTTAAGCCTACCCTGTCAAATAGATCACCCCTTTACTTGATTAAATAATGTGTGGGTTGATCCTGAAACAAAGGATGCAGATAGGGAAAATCTGGTTTGTGCAAGTACAGATGTACAGAACCAAGTTTATAATTTTAATCAGTGGTGAAGAAGTCTCACTTCTCTTTTTGGGAGAGATACATGGATTTCCTCAGAAACAGTGTTTGTATTTAGAATTTTTCTTCCTAGTGATGGTGGTTTTTCTTTTTCCTTCTTTAAACCTGTGTATTGTAGCAACTGTCTTACTGGTTTAGAAAGGATGCCTGCATCATTCTTAGCTTAAATATGTGCTCAGAGCTATCAAATGAGTGCTGCAGAGTGATGGGAGGTTTTATGTTCTCTGAGATGAATGTGTAGTCCCTTCACAATTCAGTCCCAGCGAATCAGGCACCTCTTTGTACTTCCATGTTAATTTGACACTAGCTTTGTATCCATGTTCTTGCTGTACTCTTCAGATAAATAAAACCTCCTTTTAAGCCTCCTCAACTGTAGTATCTTTTCAGGCAATCTGAAAGGCAGTGATTTTACATGGACCTATTTTTTTTTTTCCTGCATTTAAGGGACATGGAGTTTAGTAAATGAAGAGAGAAATCAGTGAGAATTTCTTTTGGTTTTTTTCCTCTGATTTTTTCCATCTTGGTTACACAAGTCTGTTTTATGCTACTGCCAGCACTAACAGCATCAGGTACATCCAACCTACTGTGGCACCAGCCCTAGCTGGAGGCTTGGGTTCCTCACGGTACTGTGGGCAGTTAGATTCTTCTGAGCCTGTGAGCATTTAATGGTAATTTTGTGCCTTTGACAATCTCTGTTTAGATGATTTTTTTGTCCCAGTGTTTCCTCTTTCCTTTTCTAACTGTTTTGACCATAAGCTGCTTGTTTTGACTAGTTGCCTGCTTTATAATACATTGTTGAAGAGTTTGGTTTTTTAAAGTAGGGCATTTCTCCTTGAGTTGTGTTCCTCATTATGTGTTGGAAGTTGCTGATGTGAATTGAAGCTGAATATGTTGTACTTTTCCAACTATACGAGTGTACAGTGAAGTAAATGTTTTCTTTAAATGCGTACTGAATTGATTATATCTGGTGTTCAGACACTTGTTTTTGGGGGTATTTACTACAGTAGGGTTTGGCTTAATAGTATCTTTTCCGGGACAGCTCTAAACATCTGCTTCAGGTTATCTGAGTAGCTGGCTGAGAGCTGCTGGCTTGATGTGAAGAAATATTTCAGCAGTGTGTTAACAGAGTTACAATAAAACGTTCTGGCTCTAGCTCCGATTTAGACCGAGTTTCTGAACACCGCTGCATTCCTGTTGGCTGTCGAAAGAACGTCAGAGAGGTAAATTGTTATGAGCTCTGTTTTGCCGCACAGGTTGAGAAATTCCTGTTTCTGTTAATATCTAATGTGCAGTCGAAAAGCAGAGGTTCTGGTGTCTTTATGTAACACGGGGAACTTAAACAGTCTGGAATGATCTGCATGGCATGTTTCAGAAGAGTGTTTAGAGGATTAATTAGTATCATCATCACTGAAGACAATAACATGTTTTCATATTTCTCTAACAAGATGCTGCTGCTTGCTAATGGAAAACACTTAAACATGGTCAGGCTTTATATTGGATTTTGTAATAGTGGTTTAGTACAGCGCCTTGTGAATGTAGGTCATGGGCTTTCTTATTAGAGCATTTGCCAGGAAGCTAAAAGCCAATTGAGTTCTTGTTCTTGCAGCTTTTTTTCTCCACTTCAAAGCTAGCTAGAGGAAGTCACTTTATTACTCAAGTTCTGTTTTTAAGAATTTTGCACAGCTTACCTAATCGGCAGTGCTTAAAGACTTGCCAGCACAAGTGGTGCAATTAAAAAGACCTGCAATTTTAGCTTAAAGTTTGAACTTCTCATATGCTTTGGTGCTTGCTGGTATGCAGCTGGCAGTTAGGTTTGCGCTGTGTTGGTACCTTGACACAATACCATTGACAACTGTGTTTAAATTACCAAATCTTTCTTGTCACTTAGTTAAAAGTTGTAAGTCTTAAATGCAAGGGAGGGTTCCTGGAGCAGAAGTCTAAACAAACCCACAGACAATGTTTTCACCTAGTGTGCTGTGACCTAACCTGTCTGGTTTTGGCTAGTTGAATTGTTACCAGTTAATTCAGTTGGAGATGCAGATGTAGCAAATGTCAAAATGTGACCTGGGCACAGCATTCCTCTGCTCCAAAGAGTTTGTTGGTAGGCAAGTGAAAGCCCTTCTTTTACTCTTTGTTCACTGTCTCTACTTTAGTGAGACATGTGGTGAGTAGTATTTGCTCGGTTCCATGTTGTTGCTAACTACAGTCCCTCTCTTTGTATTTAGCTGAATTCCCGAGTGAGGGCTTCTAGGTTTCAGGGACAGACAGAATGGTTTTTATCACACCTCAGTTCTGCTACAAGTAGGGCTGTCCTGTCTTCCAGTTTTATGTTACCCATCCTCCCCTTATTACTTAATCTACTGGGTTTAGGTGTTTTTTTTCTTCTACTGTTACCTGTCGGTATGCTCTTTTCCTGGTGTTCTGTGCTCTGCTGTTTGCTGTTATGAGCTGCAAATCAAGCCTGATGGATTTGAAAAGGCTTTCTTCCTGCTGCTATGACTGTAGTAGAGAGGCAAGGCAGAAGGTATCAAACCTTGTTAGCAGGTCTGATACTTTAAGGCTGGTAATTCCTGTTGTTAATTATAAGGCAAAAATTTTGAGGTGCAAGTGGGTTTGCTATTAGCAATGGCTACGGAGTAAAGGAGAAAGGGTTTAGTAGGCAGAGGACTGTTTGCATGTGTTGCTCTGGTTCTGAGAAGTAATGAATCAGAGGGGGAATGTAGGGGTTTGCAAACAAGTGACTTCTATGCCCCTGCTGTAGGTTTGGGAGTAGAGGAAGATCAGGCCAGAACAGCAGAAGTGGTGGAGAACTGCTGCAGCCTCTCTCTGTAGTG